TTTTAGCAGATTTTGATAAAAGTTAATGAAATGTATGGTTGAAAAGTTGTGAGATCCGTGAAATATGTGGTTAGAATTTATTATTAATTTTAACTTAAGATTTTAATCTTTACCAAACATGACCTAAGTTCTTGTCAACACAACACTAATAAATATTTTTTTCTGAAGACAACATTGCCAAGAAAAAAAGTTAAACAAAGATTCATTTAAGTCTTGCTACCCAAAGCTATGATATGAAGGTAATGTAATCTAATTTCAAAATTAGTAAAGAATGTAGAGCCTTGAATGATTAGTAAGAGTATCTTCAAGAGACTCTTTAAATATAATATGTTCTCTATTTTAAAGAGTCAACATTTAAAATCACGCTCCAATAGACTATTTATAATTTAATTTTTTTTTGAAGTATTTCAAATTTCAATGTAGGAAAACAATAAAATAATATAAAAAAAGTTGGTTAAAATAAAAGATAAAGAAAAATAATAAATAATTATTTTTTCGGAGTAGTAAAATTAAGAGTTAAATATAAAGAGCTTGTTGCAGTACTACAAAATTTTAACTCTCTAAATTTATAAATACTCTCCAAATGATAGAATATACTCTTTAAAATTAAAGTCTCTTGGAGATACTCTAATCTTGTTGGGTGGAATACATTGAATGATAGTACCTTTCGAAAATATTTTTTCTGGAGAATGTATTGAATGTGCAATGAAAATAGGAAAATTATATTGAGTGTCGGAAATGACAACGAACTATCATTAATAACAAAATCGTCATTAATAAATGAAAGTTACATCTATGACGATCATTACATGTACATTTTGCATCTTTCACTTCTTGAGACAATATTATTTTCAATAATAACATTTTTAACGATTATGAGTTAATTTATTATGATGAAAAAGTTGACATTATCTACATTAGATGGTTCGCTACAGTAAACAACATGAAAATAACTATCAATAAATGAATCAAGATCGTTTGCCCATCTTGCACCATTATAGGCTTGTGAACTCATTTTTGGAACTCAATTGAGTCTCCTTACTACATTTATAGGTACGTGCATTGATCAAATAAGTCTTAGCAAGTGTTTTGAGCCATAACAACATTAGTGTCGTTTCATAGTACTTAAAATGACAAACTCATTGTGATTATTATTTGCACGT